AGAAGAAGAAGAATAAGAAGGGGGAGAAGAAGATGAAGTAGAACAAGAAGAAGAAAAATATGATAACGGGGAGAAGAAGAAGACGAAGAAAAAGCAGAAGAAGAAGAGGACAAATTGGAAGAAGAGGAAAAAGAATAATAAGGTGAAGACAAAGAAGAAGAAGTAGGAGAAGCAGAAGGGGGTGTATAAGAAAAAAAAATAAGGAGGAGAAATGAAGAAGATTGAGAAGGATGAAATAAGAAGAAAATAACAAGTAAAAAGTAGAAGAAGAAGAAGAAGAAGAAGAAGTAGAGGGAGAAGAAGAAGAATAAGAAGAAGAAGAAAAAGAAAAAGAAGGGGGAGAAGAAGAAGAAGTAGAAGAAGAGGAGGGAGAAGAAGAAGAAGAAAATGAAGGGGGAGAATAAGTAGGTGGGGGGAAGAAGAAGAAGAAGACGAAGAAGAATAAGAAGAAGAAGGGGGAGAAGAAGAAGAAGAAGAAGAAGTAGAAGAAGAAGAAGGGGGAGAAGAATAAGAAGAATAAGAGGAAGAAGAAGAAGAAGAAAAAGAATGGGGAGCAGATGTAGGAGGGTGGGAAGAAGAAAAAGAAGACGAAGATGAAGAGGAAAACGTTGAAGAAAAGGTAAAACGACAATAAGTGGAGAAAAAGAAGAAGAAAAAGTTGAAAGAGGAGAGGAAGTAGACGAAGAAGAAGCAGAAGAATTAGAAGAGGAAAAGTTGGAAGAAGAGGAAAAAGAAACATAATGCGGAGAAAAAGAAGAAGAAGAAGAAGAAGAATAAGAAGAAGAGGAGTGGGGAGAAAAAGAAGAAGAAGAAGAAGTAGAAGAAGGGGGGAGAAAAAGAAAAAAAAGGTGGATAACAAGAAGAAAAAAAAGGAGGAGAAGAAGAAGTCGAACAAGTAAAGGAAGAAAAAGAACGGGGAGAAGAAGTAGGAAGGGGGATGAAGAAAACGAAGACGAAGAAGAAGAGGAAAAAGTTGAAGAAAAGGAAAAACGAGAATAAGTTGAGAAGAAGAAGAAGCAGAAGATGAAGCCGGAGAAGAAGAGGACGAAGAAGAAGGAGCAGATGAAGAAGACGAAGAAAAAAACAGAAGAAGAGGACAAATTGTAAGAAGAGGAAAAAGAAGAATAAGGTGTAGACGAAGAAGAAGAAGTAGGAGAAGGAGAAGGGGGTGTATAAGAAAAAAAAATACGGAGGAGAAGAAGAAGAAGGGGGAAAGAAGAAGAAGAAAAAAAAAAGGAAGAGAGGAAGAAGAAGGGGGGGACGATGAAGAAGAAGAACAAGAAGAAGAAGGGGGAGAAGAAGAAGAAGAATAAAACAGGACGGGAAGAATTAGAAGATGGAAGGAAGAAGAAGGAGAAAAAAAACGAGGAGAAGTAGAAGAAGAATGGGCAGAAGAAGAAGGTGGAGAAGGTGGAGAAAAAGAAGAAGGTGGAGAAGAAGAAGAAGAAGAAGAAGAAGAAGAAGAAGGAAGAGAAGAAGAAGAAGACAGAGAAGAAGAAGAAGCAGAAGAAGAAGAAGAAGAGGAAAAATTGGAAGAAATGGAAAAAGAAGAATAAGGCGGAGAAGAAGAAGATGAAGATGAAGAAGAAGAAAAAGAAGATGAAGGGGGAGTTCAAGAAGAAAAAAAAAGAGGAGAAGAATGAGAAGGGGGAAAGTAGAAGAAAATAAGAAGTAAAAAGTAGAATAAGAAGAAGAATAGGGAGAAGAAGAAGAATAGGAAGAAGAAGAAAAAGAAAAAGAAGGGGGAGAAGAAGAAGAAGTAGAAGAAGAGGGGGGAGAAGAAGAAGAAGAAGAAAATAGGAAGAATAAGGGGGAGGAGAAGAATAAGAAGAAGAAGAAGAATAAGAAGAA